GATAGATAGATAGATAGATAGATAGATAGATAGATAGATAGATAGATAGATAGATAGATAGATAGATAGATAGATATTCAAGTTTGGTTTATTTCTATCACAACCCTTTTGTGGTGTTATTTTCTTGTTTTAGTTTGTTCTTAGCCTATTTTATTATACTTGCTGTTTATACTGTTTAAGATTTCATTTATTTTATTGCTGATTTCCTGTTTGTGAAGCACTTTGGTCAACAATGCTGTTTTAAAATGTGCTATATCAATAAAGTTGACATCAACATCTAAAAATGGGTTCTCTCCAAAAGCTAGCTATCGCGGATTTGAGAATAGTATTTTGAGTATACATGTGGTTGCTTCTCCTTTACAAACCTAAACCAACACTGTTTAATATCAAGATTTAATCCTCCTGCTGTTTGTGTTATTACCTTCCATGTTACCTGGATATGACTCCGGCTCCAAGTAGAGCTGGGTGAAAATGGGCTGTGGGTCTCCGCTGGTGGAGCGCAGTGACGCCTCGATCGAGTTGTGCAGAGCCTCCTCAAACCGAGCAGATTTCAGCTGTCCCGCGTACGAATTTCCCATTATCTGTGGGAGCAAAGAGAAAAGGGCAGCGTGATGAGCCAACAGGCAGGTGCTGTTTATCTCCACTCATCGATTCGTTCAGTGCATCAGAGCGGCAAGTGAAACACACAACAAAGCAAACTGCACACTGTTCCCGCAAAAATTTCAAGCTTAGTTCTCATCAGTTCTGGTGGATTTATATATATAGAACCTAAACAAAACATATTTTAAAGACTTATCAATAAACTATTATTTACTAAAGAAACAGACTTTTCTGTATAAAATACATCATGAATGCTGAGTGCTAAATAACTGCTGAAATGTTCTAAAGAAGCTGAAACTCAGTTATTAGTTAAAACAAGATAAATGCTAATTGAAAGTCAGAATGAGCAAAACACTAGCTAGATGCTATACAGTGCAATAATCTAGCTAAAAGCCAAAAGTAGCAAAATGTTAGTTTAAAGCTAAAAGAAGAAAAATGCAAGCTAAAACTGGTAAAAAATTAGCAAAAAGAAAAATGTTAAATACCAGCTTAAACCGAAAAGAAGCAAATTATAAGCTAAAAGGATAAAAACGATAGTTAAAAATAAGAACACCAGCTAAAAGCTAAAAATCAATATGCTAGCTAAAAGCCAAAAGTAGCAAAATGCTAGTTTAAAGCTAAAAGAAAAAAATGCAAGTGAAAACTGTTAAAACATTAGAAAAAACAAGTTAATACTAGCTTAAACCAAAAAGAAGCTAACTGTAAGCTAAAAGGATCAAAAAGATAGTTAAAAATAGGAAAATACCAGCTAAAAGCTAAAAATCAATATGCTAACTAAAAGCCAAAAGTAGCAAAATGCTAGAGAAAAACTAAAAGTAGAAAACTGCTAACTAAAAGTGGCAAAACATTAGCTTAATGCTGAAATAATCCAAATGGCTAGCTAAAAGCCACATGTAGCAAAAGACTAGATAAACGTTAAAAGTAGCAAAAGGCTAGCTAAGAGTGTCAGAATAGTAGATTAAAGCAAAAAGTAGCAGAACAGTATAGCAAAGAGCAAAAATTAGCATAGTATGTTGAAGGAGATTAAAACAAATGATTTGTTCGAAGGAATTAAAGAGATCTCAGTGTATTTCAGTGGATAATTTTTTTTTCTTTTGTTTGTTTTTTGGCAGCTCCCTTCTTCAGGGGTTGTCGCAGTTCATGAACTTGCATAAAAAAAAAACATGGTAATTGCTTTAGATGCCTTTTCTGATGCAACCTGGGCTTAAAGTTGCAGCCTCACGATTACAGAGCACTGACCATCAGCCCCATTTCTGTGGAGACTATTTTTTACATTGTAAAATATTTAGAAAAGTATCAAAGTTACAACATACAATATTCATGACACCCATCTCCTGAATGAGCCGGACGTTTTTAACTGAAATAGTGCCAAATATGCAGAGATAGTTAAAGCAAAAAAACATACAGAAACAAAAAGTTTGAATGCTGACTCAGCTTTCACACAATAATATTTACTTGCAAACACATAAACCATCTGTGTACGTTTCACTTTAATGTTTAGTTTGTTGTAAAGTAAAACCACTAAAAACTATTGCGTCAGTGCATGTTGAACGATGATTATTTTGGGCTTCATTCGTTTTCTGTTTACTTGTGTCACTCTGCCTGCACTGCCCCCGCACCCCGCCGCGCGCCCCCGCCACCCTGATGTCCAACTCCAGGACATCTGCTGAGGTCGGGGCGGTGATGGCCGGTGGCAGCTGGACAGAGGGACAAGCATGTGGTCTTAAAGAAAGAAAGAAAACAGGCATTGCAGAGAAAGAAATCACTCCTAAAATGGTAAACAGACCCAAAACATAACAATAATTAAATTAAATCTAAATAATGGCTCTGCTCCAGTGGAAATTTCTCCCCCGACTCCCTCTTTTCCGTTTGTCAAAACACACGAGCAGATCGGTTCCAGAGCCGAGGATTCAAACAGGAGAAAAGGAAAATAAAACGGGGGGATTGGCTGCTTTCCTGACACACGGGTCTGACCTGAAATGCCTCTTTCATGTTTGTCCTTGGACCACATTTGACTGCTGCGGACTGGTGTTGTTGTAAACACCGCAGCAGCCAAGCTAAAGGCCCAGCTTGAACATTTCAGCTATTTAGAAAAACAACAACAATCCTTTCAGTAAATGTGACTCCCCACAGACTTTAGGTATGAAGGAAATGAACTAAACTTGAGCTAAAAGGTTGTTTGGATTGCCTGCAGCTGAAAGGTGAAGGCAGATGATGTTTGTTTGTGTGAGTGAGTCTGAGCGTGTGCGTGCACATGCCTATTAGCAAATTATTTATTAAACCACAAAAGAAGTAGGCCTGTCGCGATAAAAAATAAATAAATCAATTAATCACATGATAAATGAAAATTATTGACCTCATTTTCATTTATCGTCTTTATCGTTTCTTCGTCTCTCTCTTTCTCCTGAAGACACTGGATGACAAAAGGATCAACTCCGGTGTTCTTCACTAACCCCTCCATTTCTCTTTTTTCTTTAAAATCCTTTTTAACCATCCAAAATCACATTTTTGGATTGTTAAATGCAGCTAAGCTGAAAAGCTAAGCCATGTGCTAAGCTAACAGGCTGACCTCGGGAAAAAATCTCTGTCTTGTCGAAGCTCCAAAATTCACAGTTGAAACCCGTGCCTTCATGTAAAAAAAAAGAAAAAAAAATTCTCTGCAAAAAGAAGCTGAGAACTTGTTTACTGATTTTTTTATTAAAAGCTTTGTGTGAAAATGCTATGCTAAAGAGCTCAAACCACACCGAGCATCCGCCATTTTGAAAACTGAAAAAAGGGAGAGACAGCCCATGTCACGTCAAGGGGCCTCCCTCCCATTTTTCTTAAAGAGCTACGTTGCTCGCTCCCTCACTATCCATCCTTCGGTTCAAGCAGTCTTATACTGCCATCTGGTGGTCAAAAAAAGGCACTACACTCAAAACAAATTAACCAATATTTCTTACATTTGACAATAATTACTAAATATTGTCAAATTTCAAACAATATCATCGTTTATCGCAATAATTTCTGAGACAATTAATCGTCCAGCAAAATTTGTTATTGTGACATACCTAAAAACAAGTTTCACTGAATTTTTCAAAAAGTCATAAAAAATGTTTATCTACAACTAATTGATGTTTCAAGTCACCATAGACAACTAATGTTAAGAAACACAAAACTTGCTATATTGACCTAAACATTTGGTGTTTTAGTAGCTGACTACCGTTTTTTTCAGACTATAAGGCACACCGGATTATTAGACTCACTGTTGATTTTTGAGAAAATGTAAGGATTTTAAGTGCGCCTTATAGTCTGAAAAATATGGTATTCTTCCAAGCACATAATCTGAGTAATAACAGATTGTGTCAGTAATTTGAGGGAACACTGTCTGTCAGTAAAATATCTCATGAACCTCAGATTTTGATGAAACGTTCAGGACTTATTCATTGGGTGTATCTCTATGTCTGTTTAGCAACTGGAGTCAATTCAGTTCAAGTTGACCCCCACAGCTAATCTAACTTAGTCCACCCAAAATTGGGAATAATGTCAGTTTTACAGAGAAGAAGCTAAGACTAGCGTGGTCATAGCTGACGGTCGTTCACAACACAGACTTTTTGATTTGTCTGATCGCGTATTATACTGAATGATAAATTTCTTTATTTATGTCATGAGCAGAGGGCACAAGCATTCCTTCAAGAAATGCTAGACCTTTATTGTTTTATTTTTAAACTGAACATGATGCTCTTAATTAATTTTGAGCTAATTCTTAATAAGAATGTAATTTCTTTCCAAATTGAAAATGTTGATTTTCTTTATCATAACCTGAAAATATAATTTCTTCATCAAAGCTTTTTTCCTAATCACTTAATTAATTATGTAACAAAACATGTTGTTTTTTTTTGTTGGGGGGGGGGGGGGTGTTGCAGGTGTTATATGCCCAAGTTAAAAAAACCAAACAACAAAAAACTTTTTATTTTAGTTTTACCATGCAGTTCAGCATCCCCTTTAACTTTTCTCCTTGAGTGCTGGTAATCAGCTGCAGGTCACAGTGACTCCCAAACTGCTTTTTTTTTTCTTCAGTCAATAACAGGCAGGGTGGGATTGTAGTTGGAGATGACTTTTCTCCTCCCAGGCCTGATTGTGCCCACGCCTGGACAGGTTCCAGTCCTCATGTTTACTTAACAACCTTCCTGAGCAGGAATCTGACCAAGCCAGACAAAAGACAGGGTTGCCTGACTGTGCTGTCACGCACATAAGAAGCTTAAGAGAATAAAGCTACAGTATTTCTTGCTTAACTGACGGAGGAAGGTGACAGAACAGAGAAACAATGACAGAGAAGGTAAAAAAAGAAAAAGAAAAAAGAAGATTGCCTGAGGATGATTTTATGTGGTTATTCAGGAGATGGCAGCTCTGTTTACCTTTTTTTCTTTCTTTTGAGATGTCAAGCCCCAACACAAAGGTTTGTCATTAACCTGGTTGTAGGCATGCGGTGAGAACTTTGGCTGACCTTTTCTCGCTTAAAACAAAGGACAGCTGTGACAGAGGTTGCACTGTGGACGTTTCTGAGATGTGACTGGTGGTTGTACTGTATATCACTCAGCTGTATCTTGCTGACCAACAGCTTTCATGAGGAAATGTCCAGAATGTCTCCAGAATCACTTGCAACTTTCTCTGCTACTTGAATCACAGAGGTGGGCATCTATTTAGTACGACGGAGATTTAGGGCCAAACTAAGACAAAAAAAAAAGCCATAAAATTATGAGAATAAAGTTGAATAAAGTCGTACATACGACGGAGCTTCAGGGCCACGCTAAAAAAAAAAGAAGAAATTTAATTGCCGCGCTAAAAAAAATTAAAAGCCAGAAAATTACGAGAATAAAATCATAGTATTACGAGAATAAAATTGAATAAAGTCTAAATATTATGAGAATAAAGTCGTATGAGACTTTTTTTTTAACAGCTGTTGTTAATTTTTTTTTTCCCCACGAGTCGGATCCATGACGCAACCTGTCAATCAATCCAGTAGGCGTGTCCAGCTCTCTGCAGGTAAGGAGCATTTGGTTTCGGATTGGTCATTTGCTGACACGCCTACTGGACTGATTGACAGGTTGCGTCATAGATCCGACTTGAGGAAAAAAAATTAACGACAGCTGTAAAAAAAAAAAAAAAGTCTCGTACGACTTTATTCTCGTAATTCTATGACTTTAGTCATTTAGTCAGTCTAACATACTTTTCTGCCACTCCAGATTTCTTCATGCAATACCACACCTCCTCTCTTGGCACTCTGTCATATGCTTTTTCTAAATCCACAAAGACACAACGGAGCTCTTTCTGACCCTCTGTACTTCTCCGTCAGCATTCTCAAAGCAAAGATGGCATCTGTGGTGCTCTTTCTAGGCATGAAACCATACTACTGCTCACTGATAGTCACCTCTCGTCTAAGTCTTGCTTTCACAGCTCTCTCCCAGATCTTCATCGTGTGGCTCATCAACTTAGTTCCCCTGTAGTTGCTACAACTATGTACATCACCCTTGTTCTTAAAAATGGGCACCAGCAAACTTCTTCTTCATTCCTGAGGCATTTTCTCACCCTCATATACCATTGAATATTTGAGTCAAAAACCTCACTGCCATCTCTCCAAGACATTTCCAAACCTCCACTGGTATGTCATCAGGTCCTACTGCCTTCCCTTTCTTCATTTTTTTCAGAGCTTTCTGGACTTCACCCTTACTAATCTTTCCCACTTCCTGGTCCACAGTTTCTATAATCTCTACTCTTCTTTCTCTTTCATTCTCTTCATTCATTAGCTCCTCAAAGTACTCCTTCCATCTTCCCGTCACACTCTCCTCACTTGTTAGAACATTACCATTCCTATCTTTAATAAGCCTAACTTGCAGCACATCCTTTCTAGTCTGATCCCTCTGTCTTGCCAATCGGTACAAGTCCTTCTCGCCCTCTTTAGTGTCCAGTCTCCCATAAAACTCATCGTACGCCCTCTGCTTTGCCATAACTACTTCCCTCTTTGTTCTATGTCCCATCTCCCTATATTCCTGTCTCCTCTCTTCAGTCCTCTCACTGTCATATTTCTTCTTGGCTAATCTCTTTCTTTGAATGGCGTCCTGCACTTCACTATTCCACCACCAGGTTTTCTTATCATCCATTCTCTGTCCAGATGACACACCAAATACTTTCCTACCTGTCTCTCTAACTACTGTTGCTGTAGTAGCCCAGTCATTTGGAAGCTCTTTCTTACTACCCAGGGCCTTTAATAGCTCCTCTCTGAATTTCTCACAACATTCTTCCTTCTTCAGCTGCCACCATTTGGTCTTCTTCTCTGATTTTACTCTTTTTGTCTTCTTCACAACAACAGTCATTCTACACACAACCATCCGATGCTGTCTGACCACGCTCTCCCCTGCCACATCCTTACAGTCCCCAATCTCTCTCAGGTTTCCTCTTCTACACAGAAAGTAGTCGACCTGCACACTCCTTCCTCCACTCTTATAGGTCACTCTATGTTCCTCCCTCTTTTGGAAATAGGTATTGATTATAGCCATTTCCATTCTCTTAGCAAAATCCACCACCATCTGTCTATCCTGGTTTCTGTTCATTTTTTTCCCAATCATGAAAAACTGACCTGACTGCGCATGTGCGAACTATGTCAATTCCGCCTGGCTAATGCTAATAACATTAGCATGTCGGGGAAGCAAAACTGATCAGTGAGTGACACAACATTTCTACTAGAAACTTGGAAAGAGCTCAGAATGATCTGTATTACCTGTAGCTCAGTCAGGGAGTGCAGTAACGTCTCCACCGTCATTAAAACCTGTCATGCGTCCATTTTGGGCGCTCAGGTTTATTTACGTTCATCCCGGGAGTAGAATTTTTTCTTCTGTTTTTTTAAGGAGTTTCCCACTCTGCGCATGTCAACACTTCTGTTCAGAACAAAGCCCGCTGCATGTAAACGCTCATCGTGAACGGATTGTGCCCATGTAAACGATACATTTGAATTA